GACTGGCGGCCCTCGGTGACTTTGTAAATGGAATCGATAAGGACTGGAAGAAAACAAGACACATCATCACATAGCAGGTGAAGTCAGTTACTGAAACAATTGAGAAATAAAACAGCAAAATCATTTTAGAGATTAAAAAAATAAGCACAAAAAACTTCACTGCCTGCAGTTTGTGATTTTTAGTTCAGACGCTGAACGCTGGCTCTGCTGTCTTCTGTAAGGAAACTTCTTCAAGTAACACTTTTCTGAGATTTTTTGTTTTTTGGTACCAGGGATTGAACCCAGGAGGGCTTACCCACTGAGCCACATCCCCAGGGCTATTTTGTATTTTATTTAGAGACAGGGTCTCCCTGAGCTGCTTAGGGCCTCACTAAGTTGCTGAAGATGGCTTTGAACTCATGATCCTTCTGCCTCAGCCTCCTGAGTCACTGGGATTATAGGTGTGCACTACTGCACCCAGCTCCTGAGTATTCTTGACAATGTCCTCCCTGGGCAGTGACTCAGGATGAGTTTTAAATTAGAGTAGAAAGATCCATCTGCCCACAGAGCAAGAAGGCTGGTGGAAAAGGAGACTGTTAAATATGTCAAGGCTACCATTTACCTAGTTATGGACAGAAAGCAGAGGAAGACCCAGAACTGGCTGCTGTTTTGAAAAGTGTGGGAGAAGATAGAAAATAAAAAGCAAAGAAACTTACTGGCAACTAAGTAGCAAGCTAAGAGTGCTTGGTATTGGTAGAGAGAACCCAGGGTGGTGGGGGTGGAGCCGGGTTGGAGAAGTGGCACCCCAGAGGAAGGAGTAGGAAAACACAGAACACAGGCCCACCCCAGGGATGCTGGGCAGGCCGTGCATGCAGAACTGGAGAGCTCAGAAGGGAGGATAAGTGGAGATAAAGTTAGAAGTCAAAGGCTAGGTCTTGGAGATCCTGCCTTTTAGGAATACAGCAGCCCTGAAGCACTGAAGCTTGGATCAGAGAAGCAGTGGCCGGGATAACTCCAGAATTCTTTGTTGTTTATTTATTTTGGCTTGCTTCTTTATTTTTAAGCAGAAACCAGAAGCGTGGCACATCCTACCGCCTGCCCGTGTGCACCATCAACCCCTCACTCTATGAACAACAGGATCCCATTTTACTCTGGTATCCACTCAACCCCAAGCAACTCACAGGGAAAGGAGCTTTGGCTCAGCCCCAGGGAAGTCCGGGCAGGTGAAAGCCACTGGGGCCCCATTTCTACTTCCTGGGGGGGGGGGGGGGGGGTGTTAGGTGAGGGCATGCCAGCCAGTTCTTCCTGAGCAGACATGCACAGTCTGTCTTGAGGGAAGGGTCTGGAAAGGGTTTTCTCACCCTCAAGAGGCCAGAAGAGGCCTCTTCACTGTCACATCAGGTCATAAGGCCTGGCACAGCTGAGGCACACTGCTGCCTTGATGGCAGTGCCACAAACAAGGGCAGAGCCAAGTGTGCTGCAGAGACAGAGAGAGAGACCAGTGCCCCCCGCCCAGTCCTGTCCATCTCTGGGCTTCATGGTAGGTGGGGTGATAAACCTGTTTATCATGGGAGCATGATTTAGATGAGATCTTATTACTGACAAACACAGAAGAAGCCAGCATGGTGGAGACTGGTTAGGAGACAGGGCAACTGGTAACTCGAAAGGCAAACAGGCTCTGGACCCAGGAGTTGCCATGGAAACAACAGGAAGGAGGGCCAATGACAGCCATGTCACAGGACTCAACAGGACTTGTTGCTAAGACAGGGGTGTGTACGGTAGTTCACTTAGATGCCAATCTGCCTGGCCATGAGGGTCTCCAGGAAGCCAGTAGAGCATTATCTCTGGTGTGTCTGTAAGAGGTTTCATGGAAGGAAGTGGTATTTGAATCAGCCTCTCCAAACACGAGAGGGCAACACCCAATCACTGAGGGCCCAGAGGGAATAGAAAGGCATAATAAATGCACATTCTCTCTCTCTTCTGGAGCCAGGACACCCATTCTCTCCTGTTCAGACATCAGAGCTTCAGGGCCTCAGGCCTTCAGATGCTGGGCCTAGTATCAGCAGCCCCAAGATCTCAGGGTCCAGGCTCATGGCATGGGACAGACTGAGCCATGCCACTGGTTTCTGGTTCTCTAGCCTGTAGATAGCATATTGTTTCATTTCTCAGCCTCCATAAGAAAGTAAGCCAAATCCCCTAATAACCATCCACCTACTTGTCCATCCATTCATCCTTCCTTTCACCCACCCACCCATCCTATTCATTCTGTTTCTCTGGAGAAACACTGACTCACACAGTGTGGGAGAGAGAAGCTTTAACTAGGAGTCAGATCCAAACAATTTTACTTGATACCATAAAACAATGCTGTTAGTCGGGCATGGTGGTGCATGCCTGTAATCCCAGCAGCTCAGGAGGCTGAGGCAGGAGGATTTTAGTTCAAAGCCAGCCTCGGCAACTTAGCAAGGCCCTAAGCAACTCAGGGAGACCCTGTCTCTAAATAAAACATAAAAAAGGTCTGGGAATGTGGCTCAGTGGTTGAGTGCCCTGGAGTTCAATCCCCAGTACCAAAAAACAAACAACAACAACAAAAACAGTGCTGTTAATTCATTAATCAGTTTACTGTGGTCAGAATACAGCAATATACTTTAAAGCTCATTGGATTTATGACATCCCTTACCTTTTAAAGGAAAAGAAAGGTCTGCAGCTATAAAAATCCTACAATGTACTTAAAACACACACACACACACACACACACACACCATACCTCAACACAGGGGAAATGTTAGCATTTACAATATTTATGGATGAACTTTTATGGATTCAAATTCCCCAAAGAGAGTCATCCTTTATGGACTCAATATCCATACCCAAGCAATCCAAAAACTTGCAAAACATTGGAAGTTCCACCAATGCAAAGCTCCCACAGGGCCCAGCCCACATGCCCAGGGTTACCGTGTCCATCCAAACAAAGAAATCAAAGGCTGCCTTTACTTTTTGCTCTCTCGCTCTTCCTAGAGGGTCGCCACCGGAGGCGGGTCCGGTGCTCATCCAGGTAAAAGAGCCGGACGAGCCCTTTGGTCCCACGCTTCAGCTTGATCATCTGAGTCCCGGACTGCATGACACTCATGCATCTTTCAACTGCAAAAGAAATCAGAGCAGGGTGAGCTCTCACACAATGCCCAGCACACTGGTGTCCAGACCCTACAGTCAGAGATACCTCTGCTTCACCCCCAAAGACTTTGAGGCCCAGGAGACAGATTGGGCAGAGGTCATCTGAAAAGAGACTTGCTAAGAAACTGGCAAGTTCCTTGTTAGTTATAGCCACTAACAAGCCTTGTAGACAAAAATAAAATTCTATTTCCAGGTAAGTAAGGCATTATTTGTATTGCAGTCTGTTTTTTGGTATAAGACTGATGACCCCTTAGATATTCTAAAGCAGGTTTGCAGACATGTTAAATCTGTGATTTTTATACATCCAGTTGTAAAAGCACCTTGTAATAATGTAGCCAATGACATTGTTAAAATTGGACAGTGGTGACACAGGATTCATGTTATTATGTTTTTGTGCATATTTGAAAACAGTTAAATAAGTGTTTCAATGTAATCACGAGGCATCAAGTTTTCACAAACAACAAATGAATGAAAACATTTGTTGATGCATTTAAACTGCTAAGATTTTTCCTTCTAGAGGAATAACTTGGCACTGGAACTCAGGCAGCATCCAAGTCACTTGCTGTCAGAGGCAAAGCTGTCATTTAAACCCAGCCTGCTTTGGGAAGAACCTTGCAGGGTAGAGGCATCTGCTGTCCTTGCCCACGCCCCTTGTTTGGCAATATTGGCCCCCTTTTCCTGTGCCACAGCTCCTCACCCATTCCACATAGCTTTGGTGGACTGTCAATCACTCAGCTTCAGCTCACAGCAACTCTGACTCCCTCCCAAGGGCAGACATCCTGAGCAGATCACTGAACAAAAACCAGAATCAGTCATTTCTACAAGAGTGCATTCGGAGAGGCTCCTGAGGGGCCACCTCAAAATACCACAGTTGTCACCGGTCCTCTCCCAAGAAGCACAAACGATTACACTTCCCCCTGACTCTGCAAGTTTTGCAGTGGTCTTCCAAAACACTCCTTTTTCATCAGATCAGGTAGAAATAGAGCACTCCAAATATGAAGTGCTGAGCATCCACCTCCCCCAATGGATGCTGTTGGAAGCCACATGAAAGAAGCACAATAAACAAACTTGGGCAGCACTGGACTCCAGCTTTCCTGACTCAGTATGTTGCCTTTACTAGGAATGATGACCTGATCCAAGCTAAACCTCGATGCAGGGGGAACCCATCCCAGGTAACATCAGCATGTCCCTAGATGTCCACCCCAGGAAGAGCCTTGTCCTCCCTTGAAATCGGGGAGGCAAGAGCAAGCAGAGTGCCAGGATTTAGCAGTGCAGGAGCATGATGCACAGGTCACCTTCACTCATCCCATCAAACACTCAAGTCACAAAAATATTGCTTAAGAAAACTGCAGGAGGGAGAGAAAAGGAGGAGGGAGGGAGGGAGGAAGGGAAGGAGTGATTGAGTGAGGGAGGGAGACAAGAAGGGAGGGAGGGAGGGAGACAAGGAGGGAGGAAGGGAGGGTGCAAACAATAGTCAGGGTAGGTAAGGAATGACTAAGTCAGTCCAGAACTTGGGGCCTGGTTTAAAAGGAAATGCTTATACCTTTAGGACACTTCCCCCTTCTCCAACCTGTTACCAAGGTTACCTGACTCCTGGGAATTGTTCCTCCCTGCAAGGGGTTGTTAATGAATGCCCCCTGGGCCCCTCCCTTCCTGCCTGTACCCTGGGGCAGCTTCTTCCTGCCCTTGAATCACTCAACCTTTAGGCCCACCTTTTGGTCACTAGTCAGGTAGGCAAGATAAGAGGAGGAGAAGGCATAAGAAAGGAAACCTAGCAGGCAGCGCCGCCGAGGGTGATCTCCTCCCCTGCCGCCTTCCCGCGCATCCGGTGCGGCCTGCGGACTCGCCTCATGATGATCCACGGCTTCCAGAGCAGCCACCAGGACTTCTCCTTCGGGCCTTGGAAGCTGACGGCCTCCAAGACCCACATCATGAAGTCAGCGGACGTGGAGAGGTTAGCAGATGAATTGCACATGCTTTCTCTCCCTGAAATGATGTTTGGAGACAATGTCTTAAGAATCCAGCACTGCTCTGGCTTTGGGATCGAGTTCAATGCTACAGATGCATTAAGATGTGTAAACAACTACCAAGGAATGCTTAAAGTGGCCTGTGCCGAAGAGTGGCAGGAAAGCAGGACGGAGGGCGAACACTCCAAAGAGGTTATTAAGCCCTATGATTGGACCTATACGACAGATTATAAAGGAACGTTACTTGGAGAATCTCTTAAATTAAAGGTTGTACCTACAACAGATCATATAGATACAGAGAAATTGAAAGCCAGAGAACAGATTAAATTTTTTGAAGAAGTTCTCCTGTTTGAGGATGAACTTCATGATCATGGTGTTTCAAGCCTGAGTGTGAAAATTAGAGTAATGCCTTCTAGCTTTTTTCTGCTGTTGCGGTTTTTCCTGAGGATTGATGGGGTGCTTATCAGAATGAACGACACGAGGCTTTACCATGAGGCAGACAAGACCTACATGTTACGAGAATACACATCACGAGAGAGCAAAATTGCTAATTTAATGCACGTCCCACCTTCCCTGTTCACAGAACCTAATGAAATATCACAGTATTTACCAATAAAGGAGGCAGTTTGTGAGAAGCTGGTATTTCCAGAAAGAATGGATCCTAACCCTGCAGACTCACAAGAATGTACACCTGTGGAATAGAATGTACTACAGCATATACTCACCATGGAATCTGACTGAACACTTTGGCTATTTGTAAGGGGGTATTTTTATTATGAGAATTAATTGCCTTGTTTATGTGCAGATCTTCTGTAGCCTTAAAGGAAAAAAAGTTAAAAATAAAAATTGTTGCAGGCAGGTCCACTCAACCGCTGTTTGTACTGTCTCTCCAAATTCACACTTCGGATTTACACATTCTGGAGTTAAGTTTGGATTTATGAATTATCACAGAGTGGGACTTCAGAGTGGGGACATAATCTGCAGCCATCATGAAACACTGACTTCTGCCATGAAGAGGTTACTTTGGTCATTGAATCCTGGATTGTGCATGTTCATGTACTGGCTTTGGCTTTGGGCTTTCCAGTGTTTATTTGCACTTATGGAGTTGTGACTTGCCACAGTTTAATGATCCTCACCCACAAAAATTTTCAAATGTATCTACCCCCTATTATATATACCAGTTTCTTTTGAATAACCTTTGAGTTTAAAGAAAGTTTTAGACATGGAACTGAAATCCATCCCCCTAGTGTTTTGGAGAACTGAAACTGTTATGTATGTGGAAACTTGAACCTAGGGTGTCAGAGCTATCTCTAGGTGCTTTTCAGCTTGGGGACCTAGCTAGTTCAGAAGCTATATAAAAATAAATTTAAAATCCATTTGTTTATTTTGATGGTGACCCTTTAAACATTTTATATTATTTTCTGCCTTTCTAGATTGTTTTCATAAAGTGGAAAATTATGTAAGCATCAACTAAGGGATTACTTGAAATGGATTTTTACAAATGATTTTTTAAAGGACAGGGAAAAATCACCCCCTTTGTTCTTGAAATAACTGTTGTGCATATTTCCACTTGATGGAAAAACCGTTAAATAAGAATCTTTAATTGAAAGCATTAGCAAAGCTCAACTCTTCAAGTATTGGCCTGAAGATAAGTTTTACTGAAAAAATACACTTGGTTATTAATCATTGCTCAAATTTTGTACATTATTGTGAGCCAAACAGTCAGGGTAAATTGGTCACATGTAGTTTTGGTATGTGTCTGCCTTCTGCATTACCTCCAAGGTATAGGAAATCAGAATTTTGTGTTCTGTGTATACTAAATATACCTGTATTTAATGCTTTCTTTTAGGATGGGAAAGTATGTACATATATACGTACATTGCACCCAGCTTTGTTTTATACACTGTGCAGATCTAAACACAAAAGACTCATAAGAAATGAAAAACTTTTAATAATATTCATTAGTTATAGTTTCTGGGCAACATCATTTCACTTATTGTGTGAGTGTGTACACATGTGTATTTTTTTTTAACTTTTTGATATAGATGTCTTGTCCCTGAGTAGATTTAGATTACTTATTTTGAGAATCCATTGTTAAAAATTATGGAGAATTAAAAGAATTGACTTTTTTTCCTTAAAGAAGGGTAAGTGTGCTTCTGAAAAATTTCATTAGTTTATTCCTGTGGGGGATAACAAGAAAATGTGTATTTGGCCATTGATAAATATGATATATACCATTTTATATTTATTTGTTCCAAGTGTCTTTTTGTAAGAGGAGAATAAACAATAAGGAATTACTGAAAAAAAAAAAAAAAGAAAAGAAAAGAAAGGAAACCTAAAATCTATAAAAGGGGCAGGACACTCCCACGCCCTCAGGCACCAGATTTGGACCCCCTCCTCTGCAGAGGAGTCTGTCTCTGTCTCTCTGTTCTATCCTTTAAATGAAACTCTTTGCTCTTACCTCAGGGTTTCTTGGGTGTTCAATCTTCACCCGAGGGAATGGGATTCAGCCCTGATTCTAGTTACCAGTATCAGAAGGACTTAAAGTGCTCATTTGAATGCAGAAAGCAACTTGAGATTGGTTTCCCTTGAGTCTGTGAGCTTCGCCCCCTGCACCCAGTTGGTTCGGGCAACAAGCACTCCAGGGTGGAATCCTGAGCTGGACATCTCCCACAGGCAATTAGAGTGAGAAGTGGCATCAGGACAAAGCCACCCAGTCAAGCCAAGGCCAAGGCCCAGAAAAGCCCTGGACCTGCCAACACCCGACAGCAGTCGTTAGCCCTAAACAGACAGTTCCCAGGGCAACTCCCTGCAGTGAGCAAAGGGCAAGGAGCCTTCTGGGCAGATGACCCAGAACTTAGTTTGAGAGAATGAGCATCTAAAAAGATAGGTACTAATGGCATTTAGAACTACAGCTGGGAGAGAACTCTAGCTGTTCCACTTAGGAGCTGTCCTCCATGAGCAAGTTACTTAACCTCTCTGTGCCTCCATTTCCTGATCTGAAAGAGGGATCTTGATGTCATGTGCCCCCTGGTCATGGTGAGAACTGAATTAGCTAATTCATGACCGGAAGCATGGTCTGGCCAGTCAACTGTACAAACGTAGCTGATCATGATTGAAGCCCTGACCTTCCACATGCCGGTGTCTGGAGATGGGGCCTTTGGTAGGAATTGGGTTTGAGGAAGTCGAGAGGGTGGGGCCTCAGCAATGGGACTAGTGTCCTTGCAGGAAGCACACTCTCTCCCTCTCTGTCCCTCCCTCTCCCCACCTTCTCTCTGCCACAGGAGGACCTGGTAGCAGGAAAGCAGCTATTGGCAAGCAGGAGAAGAACCTTACCCAGAACTTCAGAGGTATCAGCGTTGGCCTTGGACTTTCCAGCCTCCAGCACCAGGAGAAATGAACGGCCACTGTTTAAGCCGCTCGGCCTGTGGTATTTTTATACAGCATCTGAGCCAAGACACGACTGCTACAGGGTATTTTATTATTGAAATCTTCAAAAATAAACACCAAGTCAGAAGTAAAGACAGAAATATGAGGCAAAGCCCCAGAACAGAGCCCCGGGAGGCTGGGACAGGAAGAAGTGCAACCACGAGAACAACAAAAATTGTGGACAGGAAGAGCACCAGAGGTAAGGGGGCAGGCCAGCCTCCACCTGGGGAAGAGAGACTACAAGACCAACAGGACGCAGGACCCCAGGGGCTGAGCACTGTGAAGCTGTGGGTTGGGGATGTGGTACAACGAGGCTTGATCCGCTGGCAAGGAAGACATTTCTGAGCAAAGGACTGGCTGAATCAAGACATCGTTTAGGAAAAAGTCTCTTTGGGAAGGAAAATAAATTGCTCAAACCAGCATGGAAAAATGAATTACTACACCATCAAGATCTCACAGCAAAGACCGCCTGTGTATCTGGCACAGGGTCCTCCACTGAGTTCACACTTCCCTACAGTTTGGATAAATGTTCTCCAAAGACTCAGTGAAAGCTTGGCTTCCAGCCTAAGGTGCTATGATTGGGAGGTGGTGGGCCCTTTAAGAGCTCATTGCAGGCATGAGCTTGGAAGAAACCATGGACTCCGGTCTCTTCCTCTTTTCTTCAGTCCCTAGCTTGTCATGCAGGAAGCTTTGCTCCACCATGATGTGCTGGCTCACCACGGTTCCAAAAGCAATGGGCCAACTGACCATGGACTGAAATCTCCAAAACTGGAAGCCAAATAAAGCTTTCCTCTTTTTAAGTTGACTTGTCTCAGGTACAAGTTACAGCAGAGAAAGCTGGCTAACACACTGCCACTGTTTTCCTCTCCCTTTCCTGGCTCCTTTGCTTTTCCCTGAAAGAGAACTGCTATGGCCACCACAACTCAGCATTTCAACAAGAAAAAGCACAGTGAGGCAAGAGGAGAAGCAGTTACTTGAGCTAATAAATGCCCCTTCCTGTTGACAGGCAGCACCTAGACAAACCCAGCATCTTAGAAAGTGGAACTCCATTCCTCAGGAAGAGTACGTTTAATATTAAATACTCATTAACTCCACCTTTATCCCACTGACTCAGCCTTGAATGCCCGGTGGCATTCAAGCATCACCCACTGCTGAGGGCTGGCAGGTAGGACTGTGGTGCAGAGTCTGAAGCCATGTGTCACTTAAATTGCTTATGTGACTGCTTTACACTGTCTCCCTAATTGCTCCTCCCATCGCAGATAAGTCTTCTGGTTAGAGTCAAATTGAAAAACTGAATCCAATGAACTTTTTAGTATCATCTAAGCCATTTCTCTCTTCCCCAAACCTTGTATAAAATCCCTTACAATGGCAAAGCTAGCCAAAGAAGGAGCACTCTCGATCGTCCTTTGTAACTCATTCTAGCAGGTAAAAATCAGCAACAATGCAGTCAAACTATTCTTCCAGTCCCCTTTAAATCACTTATATCAGCCTAAGCCACTTTACTCAAGTTCCATCTCCAGGATAACAGCAGTGACCACCCTTTATAGCAGTCCTCAAGCAGATAGTAAACGACAAGGAAGCTTTCGCTCCAGGTACCCCAGGGCAGGGGTCCAGGGGCTGAGTGTGGCCTGGCCTCATCAAACAGCCTCTAGTGCTAGGTTCTCTGCCAGATGCAGGTTGCACGTTACAGCAGGTACTGATAAGTGCACAGTATATGATGGCTGTCCTTCCACATAGTGGCTTTAATATTTTGAGAAAACAAGTTCGTTTGGATACAGTGGAGCACGTCCAGGACTATTAGGAGCAAAACAGCCACCATCCCAGCACGAACAGACTGTTTTTGCCCGTGAGCTCCAGACCTCCACGTGTACGCTAATCCGCTGGAATCGTGATATTTAAGCCACTTGGCACCCTGCCTTTTCCATCTGTATTATAAACAGCTTTCCATGTTTTCACACAATCCTAATAATTATCTTAATGGCTGCCTACCGGAGCAGCATAAATAGTTAAAGAGCAGAGCAGATGAACCGAGGACCACATTCCTAACTTTATTACACAATTAGAGTTTTAAAATTCTTACCAGAGTCTCAGCTGTAAAACGAAAGGCATAACAATGTGGTCTACAAGGCCCTGAGACTCCAACTCTGTTAGAGGATTAAATCAATCCCTTCTGGAACAATCAATTTAAAATAAGTAGAATTTCCTTAGGGTCATCAGTTTATTAAATCCCTCAAGCAGAAGATTATATATACAAACATGTATACACACACATATATACACAAACACAATTTACTGAAGTATATTTTAGATGTGATATGTCACCTGTTTTAAGGTACAATTAATTCAGTGACTTTGGCATATACAGAGGGTGTGACAGTCTGGTTCTAGAACATCTCCATCACCCCACAGAGGAGCCTCATGCTATCTGGCAGTTGCCCCT